TATTGACAAATTAGAGAAAAACTTCAAAGGGAACCTTAATTCCTTTAGCCAGAGCAAATACAATTCTACTTACAACCTCACATAAAGTAAAGCTAGAAACTTTACGTGTTGCTTTCTTTTCATAAAATGTATCTTTTACTCTTTATTTTCCCCACTTAGATGTAATTTTAGACTTTGTAGCGACAGCAGCAATGAGGAAAATGAAGAAATGTTGGTTTGGATGTGACACCTGCCTGCACTCACATAGGTAGTCAGGTTAATCAGTCAAAAGCTGTTTCTTTAAGGTAACGTGGTTTAGCTTTAACACCAACATGGCGTGTGATGAAAAACCTGACTTGTGTTTCACAATTGCAAACGAAGCAGATCCTTCTATTGTTAACATTTATCCAACAGCCTCACAATAAACAGAGGAAACAGTGGAAATGAAAAGCAAAAAAAAAAAATCTAATCCTGATGTATCTCCGTATCCATCACACTCACCGATTTTTAAGAAGGTTTTTACGAACTGGAACAGGAAGTGATTTATTTAGTCACAGGAATCTCTTTTCTCACACTTAAATGTTTCAGATGCAACACATTTTAATATCAGGCCAAAAAAAAAAAAAAATTATAACTACCCTCTAAACCTATTAGAGTCAGCAGCTCCCATCAGATGTTTGTTGTAACTGAAGAGAAATTTTGAACCACAAAAAGCATGGATATCATGTTTAAGGTCATGCCACAGCATTTTGATTTTATTTAAGTCTATACTTTGACTAGACCCCTCCAAAAGTTGTACATAGTCTAGAATAGGAATGTCTTTTATGGGAAATTTCAGTGCAACAATAGAAATATGACAGGCAATCAAAGCAAACAGATTCACACAAAGATAGAATATGATATATAAAAACAGAATTAAGAATGAAAATACTCTACAGTACGGACAAGATCTCAACACAGACAGTTCAAAGGGAAGATTTTATTTTGTTTTTTGGTTCATTGCCTTTGGATCAAAGCCATACAACACAACCCAGGTGTGCTTGGGTTTAATTGATGGAGTTTCTCCTTCAGGATTTTATAACAGAGAGTAAAATCCATGGCTCCACTGACAACAGCAGGCGTCAGATCATCACACCATGCTCTTATTCTGAAATGCTCTTAGTTTTAGGCACCAAAATGTTCCACTTTCATCTTATTACGTCTTGGGGATTGACATATTTTTCTTAATTATTAAACGACTCTTTGTGTCCATGGAAGCCATTTTTGTCCAGTCGCTCTTTTGTTAACCTCAACTTTGGCCAGCGAGGCCTGCAGAGCTTTAAATGCTGTTCTGTTTTTTTTTTTGTTTTTTTGTTTTTTCCTGAATGATTTGTCCATGAACCCTTGGAGATGTTATGGGTAAAGACCAGACTCAAGTGAAGGTTCATCATTCTCTCATGTGTTCTCCATTTGTGGATAATGGCTCTCACTGTGGTTCTCTTGAGTCCCAAAGCCAGAGAGATGGTTTCGTAACCCTTTCCTGCCTGATAAATATCATAGTTTCTAACGTGTTGTTAAACTTTTTGAGATTAGGAACGATTGTGTTGCAACATCTTCTAGCCTCTTTTACACACTGCCATAAAGGTTTCAATTAGAAAATAATAGTAACCTTATTTAAAAAGGCAAAATGTATAAATGTCACCATTTGCTCTTATATACCTCATTGTAGCACAACTTAAGATAATTTGCACCTGCAGTCCCCTGCAGGTGACAAAAATAGATGTACAATATTAAAATAAGACAAATATATAACAACTAAATATAACCACTAGGGTTTAGATACTGTTATCCTCTAATGAATAACATAAACATTTAAAAACTGCCTTTCGTACTCAAGTTGTGTTGTTATAACATGAAATTTGTTTGACCATTTGCAAACGTCCACTGTGAAAATTGAGAATACCGCTCCAACTTTTAAAAACTGCATTAATTAGTCGCAAATACCTGAATGAAGTTTATCAAACCTACTTTATTTACGTTTGTTTACCTTGACAATTCAAGGATAGACTTATTTTAATTACAAAATAATCAATTAACCCCTTTAAACAACAACAACAACAACAAAAGTCGGAGCTGCGTGTATATATATATATATTCACTTTTTTTCCCCCCCCAGTGCACTTTATTAGGCAACCCGTAAGAGTTTTTGCTTCAACAAGTCAGATCAAGTATCTAACGCGTTAAAATGATCAGTCTGGCAGGTGATGAGGATGATATCACGATGTTTCATATAAGCCAGCGTTAGGCAACATTCGTGACTCCACTGTGAGACTATCTCAGCCCTCAGCAGCTGTCAGCGCCCTGGAAACAACGTGTCCGGGCGCATAGCTGCGGCGCAACAAGTTGTGAGATTGCAGCAGAAGCCGGCGGCAGATATAAGCAGTGCCGTCTTATCGAAACATAAACAACCCATGACCAGAGGCAGATATATCACTGTTGTGAAAGACAAGCCGCCTAGGAGCACAGTGGCTGATTTAACACACACACACACACACACACACACACAAAAACATGTTGTGAATCCGAAGTGAAGCCGTACTTACAAATCCATAACCTCTTGACTTGCCGGTCTGTCTGTCGGTGATCACCACAGCCTCTTCGATCTCGCCAAAAACCTCAAAATATTTCCTGAGACTTGAGTCCGTGGTGTGGTAGGGAAGACCCCCGACAAATATCTTCGTGTAGGTCGTGTCCTTTTGCGTGGTGTGCATCGTTAGTGCAAAAACAAACAACAACAACAACAAAAAAAATACAGTAGACTGGAACTGTTTAAAACAAACAAAGGCAATCTAGTGCAAAATGTCCTTATCAATTATTCTTTGGGTGAGAAGAAATAAAAATGGAGGAGATCAGCAAAATGTTGTCGACAGTGATGGAGCCTGGAGGTAGATTTTCTTCTCGCCGCGGCTAAGAGGGCAGAAACATGGAGCGGATTGTCCCAGAGATGAGCATCAGGTGCTTCCAGCTCTCCTTCAACAACTCTGCTGTCTAACTTCATAGGTTTGGGACCCATTCCTAAAAGCGTCGCCTCTAACTCCACCCAGCTGCTCAGCGGACCGCCCCATACACACACACACACACACACGCACACACACACACGCACACACTCATATGCACACCGGAGCGCACAAACAGCTGGGCAGCCTGCAAGATCCAGAGGTGTCCTTTCAGTAACTGTTTCATTTTATGTCGCTTTTTATAGTTCATCTTTGTGGAACATAAAATGTCTATGTAAAATGTTTATGTCATAAAATAGGTACTTACTTAACCGCAGCTTCTTGTTGCTTCTGGTTATTTTAGGCTTCTTTTTTATATTAAGTAGGCAGGTGAAGCTCCAAAGATCTCTCTTTTGCAGGGTTTTCTGCTCCGACTGTCTTAGTTTTCGCTATTTTATGGCGTTAAGATAATTTTACAGTACATATAACTCTTGTACATTTGGTAAAACCTCTCAGTAATGCATTTCAAATGTAATCACAAACAGAAGAGTCTGATGAGTAACCTACCTTGACGCAGCCAAACATGAATAATTTATATCATAGCTTCTTTGTATACTTTTCTCCCTCTCAAGGCAGCTCTTATCAAAAACTATTCCAATCTTATTTTTACTTATTTATTTATTTACATTTTGTCACATCAGAATGTAAAAAAAAAAAAAAAACATTAATGCGTTGCATTGGGATTTTATGTGGCCGAGCAACAAAGAGTTATAGTTGCAAAGTGAAAGGAAAATTTCACATGCAATCCTCAAAGTTCAATTTCCTTCTCAACTAAAAAGATTTGATAACAATGTATATTTTGTGTTTGGTTATCACTTAAAATCTGAATCCCATCCTTAGATAGTAGAGGTTTATGGTTGCAGTATGGCAAAACATGGAGAAGTTCAAGGCTCATGGATACTTTTGCAGGTACCTGCCTCTGTTTCTACCAGGGGGGAAAGTAAAGGTGGTATTTAGATCACGTCACTACCGATTACAAAATCAGGACATGCTAAAAATGCTTCGTTTTTTCTTCTTTTAGGCGATTTATCCTTAACATAAATGTGTATCAGTTTATCTAATAGTATCACAGGAGCCTGCGGTCATTGTCACATCCATCTGAATATAAGCTGTTGCTTTAAAGATCCTCCACGTTTCAGTGAAATGCAACCTGATGCAGCTTCTTACTACTGGCTCTGTTTTATTAATGCGACCACACGCCTTTTAATGTCCATAGAGAATCGTGAATAAAAGGAGGGGAGGGGATTGGGGGCTGTTTCAAGTTTCTTTAGCTGGACAATGGGGGTCCGGTTAGGTTGCATATCCTTATTGTAAAGCTGCATGCTCACTCATCTACATCAGCTCATCCTTTAACAATATGGAGGCCCGTTTAAGGAGTTGATTTAGACAAACAGCTCTAATTTAGGCTGAGTCTCTTGATGGATTTAACTCTTATAGGATCATAGTTTTAACATATCGATTCAGAGGGTAAGTAGCTTCAAGGTTAAGTAAATAATACAAATTTCCCCTTGTTAATAACCAGTCAGAAATTTGGGTTAATTGAGTTTAATCACGACAAACAGAAGTGAGAAGCTTGAAACTGGAAATGTCTTCTTCATCCGTTTGGACATAACGCCTCCTGTCGCGTCCTTTAAAGCTAAAATGTAAAAATACATTTTTATTCCTGAAACAATGAAGCACTCTTTGTTTTGTTTTTTTCCTGAAAAATCTGAATATTTAAACTCATAATTGTTCTGTATGTTTACTAGAATACTTCAGAAATAAACCTTATATCTTCTGAGATTAAAACCTCCCCCTTTTATAGCTTATTTTACAGATTCACCGGCGTTGCTTAAGTGGAAAACATGCATTACTCACTGAAACAGCGCCATCTTGTGTTGAACAAAACAACTGCTCTATTCCTACCTCTTTCTAAAACATCAACAAGAAGAACCCGTTTAGTTTTAAGGTGAGCTCAACATTACAGTTCAGTAAAAACAGAGTTAATTTGCCCTTTTACATTTGTTTAATAAGATCCAAGTGGCCAACAACATCTTCTGTGAATGTGCAAAATGAAATCCTTTGGCTGCCTTCCTCTCCTCTCCTCCCCTCTCCTGTGAGGCGCTGATTAGAGGCTCCGTTATGTGATAAACTAAAACATTTCGTCCTTGTCCTCTGCACGTTGAAAGCTGGAGTCACTCTCCAGTTCCTCTAAAGAATCGAGGAGCTCGCCTGCCCTCAGCTCCTCCACCTGAGTCACCTCCTCTTCCTCCATCCCGCCTCCCTCCAGGTGATCTCCCTCCTCTCCCACCTCCTCACTTCCGTCCCTCGTTTTCCCCCCCTGGTGCTTCCCCTCCGGCCACTCCCTGCTGTCTCCTTCAGCCCCTCTGACCCACTCTCCTCCCACGGCTGCTTTGCGTGGGGCCTGGCCGTGGAGCGCAGGAGCTGGAGACGCTGCGCTGGCTGCCGGGAGCTGTAGCGACTCCACAGGACTCAAGGTCGAGTCTGTTTCCTCCCCGGCGCTGGAGACGGGAGCCGTTCGTCGACCTTGCGACGTGTTTGTCCTTAAACGGGTTTTCATTTCTTCTTGCTTCATCTAAAAGACGATGGGAGAAACAGATCTTTATGTGAGCGAGAAATGAGATAAGTGAACTTTTCAGTGTTTTGTTTTTTTTTTGTTTTTAAACCACAAACTTCAACGTAATTTATGAAATATGAAACAGGTTCGTGGTTGTAATGGAGCACATGACATTAACACTGGTCCAAACACTCCACCTTGCGTCTCTTCTCAACCAGCCTCATTTTTTCATCAAACTCTTCTCTGCTGTGGCTTTGAACCTTTTTGGCCTTCAGTGACTCCAACCTGGCAGGAAGTCTTCTAGTGACACGTTTGGATTCGTCCTAAAAAGACAAATAAACATTTTCACTGCAATTGCTTTTGCTGCAACAACTGAAACGCAGTTTACCGCTATATTTCAAATGCTGTGCCTTCTTCTATATGTTACAGCGTTTAAAGTAATGTTGCTGACAAAAGTTTTGATGCATTCAGGAACAGTGGCATTATGTCAAACCCTAGTTTCTAAGGTTTTGTGAATAAAGTCAAGTCTTCACAGGCTATTTACTGGCCTTCATTCACTTTATTTTATTTTATCCTGCAGAATTGATACTGATTATAAAGTTGGACCTGTTGATAGACATGGAGAAGGTTACAGGTAATTGGAATAAAAGCAGGAAAAATTAAACTTTTAAAGTAAGTCTGTGACATACTGGTTAAGCTTATATATATATATATATATATATATATATATATATATATATATATATATATATACACGACATAACCAAAGACAAATATGAAGCACTTAAAATTTAAGTTTATGATCATTTTTAACACTTTATTAATTAATTACAACATGTCTGATGAGACATGAAACACTTCTTACCTCCTGTTAAAAGGAATTTAACATTAAATAAGTAATTATATGAGATTATATGAAACACTAACGTACAAGCTTAACAATATATGATGGTTCTGTTTTGAATTTTGACTGAAATTTGAGGTAAATTTGAGATGTTTCTGCTTTCGTTTGTATTTTAAAGGGGTGTTCACTGAACTCACTTGAAACTCTTTGGGACAATAAAAGTCTAAAAATATCATCTGATATCAAATGAGTAGGAAAGTCTTAAAACTGACCAATGTTTAAGCTCAAGACGTATCAAAGTTAAATTCCAGTTCTAACATTGAAACAGGTAGTAATTGCTGTTTTCAGCCAGAGGAAGTGAGGCTCCCACCATGATGCAGTAGGCAGCTCCACTGTCTTTCTCCCGTATTTGTCCCACTGGGATGATGCCCTGATTCCACAGCTCTTCCAGTATCTCCATGGACTTGGGACGCCCCTGTACTGTTGTGCCACCCTGCAGCAAGTCCGGCTCAGCATCTGAAGTAAAATCAATTCGGAATGTAATTTTTTTTCCTCCTCCATGCAACATGACGAGGTTCGTTTTTTTTGTTTGTTTGTTTGTTTGGGTTTTTTTTTAGCTTGTTTGCAACTGAAACTCACCATTTGGAGCAACACATTCCCTGAGGCTCTCCGACGGTAGAGGAGGGATTTTGTTTGGTAATCCTCCAGGTAACACCAGATGGTCTCTGTTTTCCATCATGACCCCGCTGTCCGTTGTGCCCTTTGACCTGGCTGAGTCGCCACGTCCGCTGGATTTAGATCCTGCTTCATCCTGACACAAAAGGAGAAACAGAGAGAAAATACTACTCAGGATTTTACAAAGTTATTGTTGTGCTTCCTGAAAGTTTTTACTGATGCTGTCATGAGGCCAATGAAAGTGTTAAGATGAATAAAGATCAGAAAGTCTTTTATTAGTCCCACGAGTGGGAAATTTAAGTGGACAGAACAAAATAAAAAAGTAACAGAAATTAAAAACAACAGAATAAAAAACAGTACAGTGTAGAAAGAACACCATATAAGCAAAACTAGATATATAAGTACAAATATATATTATATAATACAGTTGTAATATAAATATAAGTATATATGTGTATATGTAAATATATATGCATATACATTTACCAACATTTACATGCACAAGCACACACATATGCCTATATACATATGTACATTTGCCCACAGACATGTATATGTAATTGTAAACACTAAAAAAAATTTACACATATATAAATGTGCATAACTCAACTGAAACAAGAGGAATTCATTTCAATAGAAACAAGTAAATTCAAACACCTTAATCAATCAAAAAAAAAAACAATAAAAGGTGAGACAATGATGCTTTTTTTTTAGATAACAAAAGCAAAGTCAAAGTAATTATGTTTGTTATTTTAGTTTAATCAACATATCGGATTTTACAGTGTAAGCTGGGCGACATTTAAGTGAGCGCAGCCTTTTTTTTTTTTTTTTTTTTTCCACTCCAACAACTGGTACACAACAATTCAACTCAAACGACTGACAGTTTCAGACACCTCTGCAGGTAAATAGCGCCTACTTTCCCCAGAGTTTGAGCCACATACAGCAGGTGGAAACACCGAGCATACCTCGTCCCGGCTCGGTTCCGCCAGCGGGTGAACCTCGACGCTAGTGGAGCTTGAACATCCCATCTTTGGCAGGTCAAAAAGCGGACGGATGAGAAATGTGTCGCGTTTTTAACCCCTCCACTTTGTATACAATTACCCGTCTTGCATACTTTCACACAGTCTCTGTCTCCATGGGCCCGACCCGTTGCTAGGACCCGTTGCTACAATAAATCTGACCCGGTTGATACCCAGGAGCAAACAGAGAGCGACCAGCGAAAACATCTCTGGAGATAGGTTACACGTAATTACTGCAGGTCAAACCTCTACGGAGGTCAAAAAGATGGGGATCTTATTTAATAAAAAAAAAGGTTTTAGCTGGGGGGGAAAACAAAATAAGTGGAGACAGCATGTTGACATTTGAATGTTGAAAACAAACAAAAACATTCATTTAAAAAAAAAGAAACAAAGGAAAATTACTACTCGACAATTTGAGATTTTTTGTTTGATTTCAGGGGGAAAAATAGCAGCTACATTTGGTTTTATCATCCAGGTTTAAACATATTTTAAACCTGGGTGATAAAAAAAAGACGACCCATTGTGCAAAACTTTCCATCTGTCACAAATTAACTGTAGACTCCAAATTATTTATTTAATGCATATTTATCTTGCATTTTTTCCAAGTAACAGAAGCAAGCTAAAGCCATAAAATAATACATAAAAATATTATTCACTTATATTTGCACATGACTGATGAGTAAATAAAATACATGTGAGCATTCTTCACTAATTTGAGAGGCAAGAAGCTCATGCCCACAGTTTTCCTTTTCACATAATCCAAGCAGTGCAGACTTAAAAATGGACACTCAAAGAAAACAAGTTAATATAATATAATAGTGCTAGGCATTTTATTGGCAGTGCCATGTGAATAGGACTATAGATGGCAGCAGCAGTTGCGCCTGCTACTGCATTTCGGGGTGAGGGCTGGAGCACTGCGTGATTCTACAAAGCCTGGGTTTGTTACCCAGAACCACAGATGTGTCGACGGCCAGCCGGAAGCTCTGGTGCAGGGCCTGGCACTTCCGCGCTATGTCAAGCGTTTGAGCATTTTTCATCAGTTTGTCCTCCACAAAGATGAGATGTTTCTGCGCCACGGCCAGGTTCTGCCTGCGAAGGACGGCAACAGGGGGGTCAGTCGGCATAAAGACGGGCGGCAGACGGATTACAGATGGGGGCGGGGGGAAGAGAACTTACTGGGTGAGCTGCAGCACCGACTGAAGACCACCAAGCATCTTCGCCAGGTCCTGTCTCTCCAGAACGAGAGCGTTATGGGGCTAAAAGAAGGATGAGAAAATAACCCGGTTATGATTTGTTTCAGCTGTAACAAAAACAAGAAAAAAAATAAATAAATCAAATAACACAACTACAACCCTCAGGCTGCAGCACCTACATTGTCCAGGCAGAGCTCAAATCGGGGTCTCTGGTTGAGAATCTCCAGAAGGTGGGTGATCTGGTGCAGCCTGGACTCACAGTTCTGAATATGTTGGAGCAGTCTCTGTATGTCTTTGTTCAGATCAGAAATCTCTTGCAGGATCTGAAGGTTACAGACAACAACAACAAGGAGTTAAATGACCGAGTTTGAGACGCTGTGAGATTGTGTGAAAAGTTGCAGCGTGCCGACCTTCTGTCTCTCTAAGTTCAGTGCATCCTGGAGCTTGGTCAGCTCCTGGATCTTCCTCCTGAGAGCTTCTGCAGTGCTGTTGCGTTGGCGCTCGTGGGCATCTTTCAGCTGCAATCGTCAGAAAGATGACAGGCATTAACATGTGTCACTGACCTTAGTACAGTGATCATTTTGGCAATTTTAATGAAGAATATCCCAGGATAATAAAATGCGACACTTATCAAAGCAATTTCTAACTGGTAATGGCAATAAAGTGAATATGATTCTCATTAATGTCACATATTGTGTGGAGAAATGGCTATCTGAGCTCAGTGACAAGAGGTATGTTGGGAACAGTCATCTATAAAACATGGTGATGGAGCATCATGCATGTGGGACAGTTTTGGTGCGTCTCTAAATCAACAATTAAGAACTGGAAACTTTGACCAACATGATACTGATCAGAAACAAGCAGCAGGACCAAGAATGTTGAGAAAAGGCTTTTTTCTAAATCCTGGGCACAACTATGCTACATCTATTTTGTGCCTTTGTGCATAAATGCATAGATGAAAATGATTGAATATATAAACTTTACCGTCCTTCCTCCCTTAAAAAATAAGCGCAATTTATAAGCCCCCCAAAAAAGAGAGTAAGGCATTTCTGGCTATGATAAATGCACGTAAACTCCTGTCAGTAGCTGCAGATGTGATTTGCTCTTACGTTGGCCAGGAGGAACATCAGGTTTGCCCTGCAGGCGGACGAGTCCTTCAGCAGGTTTTCAGCTGTCAGCTTCAGGTTTTGGCAGTGGGACAGCCACGTCTCGTAGCTCACATGGTTTGGTTTGATTGAGGGAGCAGGTATGTGAGAGCATGGGGTGTCCACCTCAAAGGTGATACATTTGGTGGTGAGTTTGATGGCTTCGACCTTGTCTTGAAAATCATGCATCAGCCGAGAACGGACCGCCTTCAGAGCGCTGCAGCAGGAAAACAGAAGTTAAGGTTAGTCTTCCTACTGAGGCGCGCCAGTCAGGCTTTTCTCTTTATGTCTGACCTTAGCTTGTCGAGTAGAATGAAGATCTGCTTCTGCAGCGCCTCTCTGCTCTCGTTGGTCATCTGCTCCTCTTTCTTCAGCTTGAGGAAGACCGGGTCCTGTCTCATACCCTCCGAGCACAGGCTGCTGCTGAGAGCCACGCAGTCACTCATAAGCTGACTGTACAGCTGTCTCTCTTTGAGACAGTGCTCTGCCGTGTCTTTCGCCTGAGGGCACAGTCAGTTTTACAAAATAGTCCACCTTTGTTCTCTGAGAGTTTGGCTGCTGATGCAGGTACCTGCTCCACACAGATGATTTCTCTTTCTATTCGCCGGATTAACTCATAAATATGGGCCTGCCAATGGCTGATCTCCATGTGGCGGGATGTGAAATGCCCCATGGTGTTACGAATAGACAAAGGAACCTTCAATGATAAAACGGAAATACACCTGAAATCAAGAAACCTCCAACAAAAATTATGACCAGATGAAAGACAGGCTACAGTGTCCCAGTTAATTAAACGAAGGCATTTCAATTTATGCTATCCAACAAAACATCCCAACATTTAGCGGTTTGGCTCAGCAGTTGGGCCTTACCCGAGCAATATTATTGCTATGCAGGGTGAAGAAGATTTCATTCAGCTTCACATAGTGGTCCTTCTCAGGTCGTGGTTTGTTGTATGACAGACTTATACCGTCAGCCAGGGCAGGGAGAGTCAGTTTACCTTCTGATTCCTGCAGGCAATCCATCTTTGGATTATTTTTCCTGTGACATAAAAAAAGCAAAAAATGCATCAAAAATAACTTAGATTTACCTGAAATACTGCCAACAGAAAATGGTGAATTTGATTTAAATTTTTCATATTTGATCTGAGAAAAGTAACACTAAACACTCTTACTTACCACATTGTTTTGGTTGTCTGCAAAAGTTGAATTGTTGAATCTCAGTTCAGTTGGAAACAAAAGTGTTGGGGCAACAAAGAGCCTATTTGCAATAAGTAGAGCATGGAAGCCTCAACCATTCTCCAGGGATACACGGTTAAATGTCAACAAAGATAAAAACAAGTAGTGGTATCCAAGATTATGGGCCATTTTCAGAACAAATTAAACAATAACAACTTGAATTCTGGAAAGAACTACTAAAGCAAAATTTATTGCATTAGTTAAACCTGCCTAGCGAAATAAATGCAGCCAATATTTAGCAGAAAATGAAAATGAAGTTATAGTCTGTAGTCACAGATTTGCCAAAAGAAACTTGATCTAGCAAAAGTGTCACTTATGTTTCAACTAAAAAGGGCATACTAGCTAAAGTTTAGGCTTGTGCCCTACATCTTTGTTTACAAGCTAAACAAAGATGGCTAACTTTTACTTTAACGACTTAAACAAGGTAGAACGCAATTAAAATTAATAACATTGGTAATATAATATGAATAAGACTTGAACTCAACATGTAAAAATTCCACAGGTCCTAGAAAAACTGGAATATTTTTTTTCATATGACTGACTGTCCATGTATGTTGCCTACACATCAAACAAACAAGCAATCTCTCTGCTTTCCGAGACGTGCAATTATATTGTAAGACATTCATATATCCTCAAAAAGCAGTCTCTGATAATATTGCAAAGAAACACATATTTTTAACTACATTTTAAATTAACTGGCACTCACAATATGGCGGCAACGTTGACGTACAACAAGACAATTTTTGTCTAATCCTATTGGTCGATGAGTGAAGTACATCCGGTTGATGATAGCGGAAGTGTTTACTCGGGAGATCACACGGATTTTAGCTACAAAATTCAGCAAATTATCCTAATTCGCGGTAAATTGTGCCGTTCTAGAAACACCTACCAACTTCTCGGTTGCTTTTACTGCTGGCATGCCGGAATAAGGTATGTGTGACGTAAATTTTAAAAGTTATTTGCCCATTTTGGTTTGTCGCGCTTTCGCTACATTAGGCCGTAATGGCTGCAAATGAATAGTATTTTGATGGAATACAATAGAAACCCCGATGTTTACACACTGCTTGTAAAAACTCTGTTTCCCCGCCCCTGATTTATAAAAATGAAACGGTGATCGTCAAAACCTCATAAAAGAATCAGTTATGATCTGATTAAACCTTTGGTGGATTTAAATTTGCTTCGAAATCAACAAAAGAATAGTTTCTTTTGAGAAAATTAAACGTGATGAATTTGATAGAGGAGACTATATTTGATTTCAGTCGAACTGTACTGGATAAATATCCCAATTAAGGTCAGATAAGTTTTGAAATTATGCATCATAATTGAAAAAGGTAATATTTTAACAGGGCCATGTTCTACTTTTTATGCTCCCATTAAATAATTATGATTGTTTATCATCACACACTGTATAAAAAATATTTTTTTTCCCCATCCTTTGATGTTGGATCAAACTACTTCTTGTTTAGATCAGTTAGAATAAACACAATTATTTATTTATATTTTTATAGTACATGATTCCCACCACAAAACGCTCGTGCTGCACAGTCGGGATGGTTTTCTCAGGCTTTCAAGTTTGTCTTTATCCTTTCAAATGTAGAAAGGTTCAAATTATGAATTAAAACTTCAATTTAGTTTCATCAGACAACAGGACATGTCACCAAAAATTAAGAATTTTTCCCGAGTTCATGCAGAAACATTCATCTTTAGAACACAGAAAGATGAACCAGACAGGTTTAACTTCAGACAGTAAAAAACAAGGTCTATGTGTCTTTTTAATTAATGCATGCAAACTTCTGGTTTCAACTGTGTTTGTATATAGTCATAGTAATCCTAGTGTACACAAACTTCTTGATTTAACAAAAAAAAAAAATCCTCTCATTATTCTTGCATCTTATAAATAGAAATAATTCTGGGTAAACTAACTCAAGGATTAAACATTTGATTTGATTTAATTTCAAAGAACGTGTTGCGGTGTATCCAATTAGATGTTTTTAGCTGCAAAACAGGATAAAGATGCTGATTTATAATTACATTTGCCCTCTATTCTCAGAAAGCTGCAATGGACGCATCACCTTTCTACGGCGTCCCGCCGATCGAGAGCGACGACAGCTGCCTCAGCGACAGCGTCAGCGACAGCGACGAGGACAGCGGAGCAACAGAACCAAGTGACGACAGCAGCGCCGACGAAGACCCTGACTGGACTGACGACGCCACGGCGTGCACCAGCGCTGCTACCACAAGAAGGGTGTCAGCCGCCGCTTCGACGAAATGGCAGGAGGTCGTGTGGGACTCCGTTCAGCAGCAGAGCTCTGCAAAACACTATCCCGTCTGGCAGGGCACCCTTCCAGATGCGGATGAAATCAGAGAGCCCGTTCAGTACTTCCGAGACTTTTTCGACGCTGAGCTTTTGGAAACGATTTCGAAACAAAGTAATCTATATTGTGCACAAGAAAGTCCCAACAGTGCCCTTAAGTTGGACCCCAGCGAGCTGGAGCAGTTTATTGGCACCGTCATGTATATCAGTGTTATACACTTGCCAAGGCTACGAATGTACTGGTCCAACGATTGTCGAATACGGCAGGTGGCAGATGTGGTCTCCCGAGACCGATTTGAAGAAATTACAAAATTCCTTCACTTCAACGACAACAACAACATGGCGGCGAACAGCAGGGACAAGCTCTTCAAAATCAGGCCAATTGTTGATTCCCTTCTGCAAAAATGTCAGGCTATCCCTCAAGACCAAATGCTGTTCATTGGTGAACAAATTGTCCCTTTCAAAGGGAGATCCTCTCTAAAGCAATACATGCCCAAGAAGCCTCATCGATGGGGATATAAAATCTACGTGCTTTGTGACACAAAAGGCCTGGTGCATTCGTTTGACATATTTACCGGCAGAACCGCTCCTGAACGCGGAGAACCCGACATTGGACCGACTGGAAACATCGTGCTGAAGCTCGCACAAGCCGTCCAGCGTGCCGACGATCACCTGCTCTATTTTGACCACTGGTTCTCCTCCTTGGATTTGCTCGCTGCTCTTGCGAAGAAGGGGATTCCAGCGCTTGGGACGGTGCAGCTGAACCAACTGCAAGGGTGCTGCTTCAGCACCAACTCCGACATGAAGAAAAAGGGAAGAGGGACGTTCGAAGAGAAAAAGGTCGTCTTCGACGGTGCAGAACTGAGGGCAGTCAAATGGTTTGACAGCAAGGGGGTGATCATTGCCAGCAATTTCCCCGGTGCCCATTCTGTCTCCAGAGTGAAACGATGGGACAAAAAGTTGAAACACAACGTCTTTGTGACATGCCCGAGCATCATTAGCCTGTACCACAAGTTCTTGGGAGGCGTCCACGCGCTCAACGCGCAAATTGCGTCGTGTCGCATCCAGGTCAGGTCAAAGAAGTACTACCACCGGTTCTTTTTTCACTTTGTCGATATGGTGGTTGTGAACAGCTGGCTGTTGTATCAGCGGGACTGTGATTCTCTGGACGTTCCAAAAAAGGAGCGGAAGGACTTGCTTGCTTTCAGAACATCGGTGGCGCAAGCGCTCTGCATGCAGTTCAATGAAAACTCCAGCGTAAAGAGGGAACCGCCGTCACCTGACGGGGAAAGGGAATTGCAAAAAAAGAAATTTCGAGGTCCAACTCGGGCGCTTCCAACCATGGAGGTCCGGTCGGACGCCGTGGGCCACTGGCCAATGACGGGCAGCGAGCGGCAGCGCTGCAAGTTCAATAAATGCAAGGGCCAGAGTGTCTACAAATGCTCGAAGTGCGGCATTCACCTGTGCCTCAACAAGCACAATAACTGCTTCATAGAATTTCACAAGTAAGAATAGTTTCTTTCTGCAGATGAAGAGACGGCCAGACTATCGCCTTCGACATTTTCTGCACGTGGTTTAATTACGACAGATCATCCAGTTCCTGATGGGTTACAGATCACGATTCTTCCAGCACCATGTTTGACTGTATGATGACATGTTTTAACTGTTTTCATCTTCTTCTTTTTTTTTAGCAAAACCAGATAAAAACTCATTTGCATTTGAAAATTTGTTCAATTATGCATTGCGACTAAATTTGTTTTCGTTCTAATGATTGATCCAAATCGATCTCCGCTGTTTGGTGTCTGCTTAAAAACAAAATTAAGATTTCCCATAAAATGTGCAGTTGGTGGTTTTGAGAAGCTGCATAATATGAAAACAAATTAACAGTTAAAAGTGACTGATAACTTCAACCGTGTCTATATATGGCTATGGCAGCCGTTAAGTTGTATTTCATTGGAAATGTTCAAAAATGATTAACCTCGTGGGCATCAGTGTTTGAGTAACCCCGCTTCAATGGAGGTGCTTTCTGACAAGTTAGCATCACAGTGCGTAGTTGTAAAATGAAATGTTTTCCAATGTTTTTTTTTTAAAATAAAAATCTAAAATGCGTCATGATTTTGAGCTCAGTCAGCATTTCTCTTTCCATTTTGAAGAGAAGCTAACAAATCTTAAAAGGCTAGTACTGCAGAAAAAACTCCACACAACGCCACATTTATTTTGTATTTTTATTGATGTAATTATCCATGGTTTTAATTTTATCACTCATCCAGTAATAATCATGGCTTTAAAATAAACTGACGTCCCTATCATCCAAAGTCACCCTCCTCCATTTAAACACGCAATAGAAAAATATATACTTAATACTTTGTACAATACTGGTTTTGGTCCAAACAAAAGTGGATCAGAAAAGCCAATATACCTTTTACTCAAAAAGGTTCTCCAATTTGCATTTAAGCTCCTTTTAAATGGATTCGGGCAACTTTGAATATAGGAATTTTACATAATAAATTCTAAAGACAAAAATGCTGAATGCAGAGTCTGTAACACAAAATTCAACTTCACAGATTAAAAAAAATATCACTATTTACAGGCTTTTATAATATTCAAAGGCCAATTAAGAGAGAGAGAAAGAGAGAGAGGGTGAGGCAGACAGAGAGGTGTAAAGGGAAAGTTTCAGGAATCAGGAGGAGGAAGGGCGGGATCTCGAGAGACGAGAGGGCACGGAAAGCAGAGTCGTGGAGCGAACCAGAGCAAATCAAACATGTAACAAGAATTTTCAAACTACGCATTTACAAAGTCCTAAAGAAGCTGAATGAGGGCGCGCGCGTCTTCGGCCCGGTCCGTCCTCCACAGTGCATGATGCATCTTCCCAGCTCCCAAACCCGGCCCTCCTGTCCTTCCTTCCTCCCCTGGGTTCGTTTTTTTAAACATTCATTTTGCTCGTTCGCCAGCTGGCGACCCCAGGCGATAGCTCTGTCGTTCGGTTTTCATACGCACTTGGACACACATCCTCAGCATGTACACAGAAACCAAACACACCTCAAGTCTGTACATTAGAGGAGAAGGAGAGAGAAAGAGAGAAAAAAAACAAAAAAAAAAACCCAAACACAAGCACTCTGCATACAAACACGCTCGTTCCTGTACATACAGCACACTGCACCGACTCCACAGCTACTTCCCAGTGATTCCTGTACAGGAGAAATCGAAACAGTTTGCTGGAGATTTACCACACGGCTCTCACTACACCTCTCCATTTCACAGCTCATAAACTGATCACCCATTCTAATTATTATGCGTACACTCATACCTTTTTTTTTCTTTTCTTTTTTTTTTATCAATTTGCAGTTTTTGCCTCTGTAATTTTATTACAAAAAAAGTCATGCCTAAAGTCTAGCAGACATTTGCCGATGTGTAAAATATAGATATTACTGCCCTGCTTTTTCTTTTTTTAAATTTCAAACATGGGGTTGGGGGTCTTTGCTTGATTGTAGTCTAAGTCAGGGTAATAGTTCAGTCAGGAGTTGTTACTATGTGAAATCTGGAAAATCTGCACACACTTAATTCTCGACTGGATTTGAAAACCTTTCAGCAGCCGGTCGAGCGACCGAAATCCTCCAGAAACACGAAGCTGTGCTAAGCAACGCCAACGTCTGTCCAGATGAGAACCTTGAGAACCTTTGACATTCTTCACCGGGGACACCGTCCTGTCTCAGTCAAGTCCACAGTCTTGTGAAGGTCGTAAAGGGCTACTTTCTGCGGCGCACCGCAGTTTTGATCTTGCGCCCAGCGATCGCTGACTGTCCGGCTGGGGAAGCGGTGAACGTCTTGGCTGACCTGCGAGAGGAAAGGACATCTCCGTGAGAAAGACGACAGTACGCGTCGCAGCTTACGATCACGTGAAACCCAAATAAATTTAAGTGAAAGTGTGCAGTGGTGGTGTGTGAAAACGGCAGAAAATGGAGCAGAAAACATGCAAACTGAGTCACTGCTGCAGCTGCTTGCAGATTCTCCACATTAAAGTTAAAGCATTTTCAAGGTAAGTTTTCCAACTTTTCCTGCACCAAAACTTTGGAGATAAAAAAAAAACAATACAAATGAACTAAAAAAAAAGGCAGTGTTAATTTATTATTGCAAATAAAACTAAATTTTATGTTTTAACATAAAATTTATGTTCTGACTGCTCTGAAAAAGTGACTAATCTAACTTTTCTAGCATTTAGAAAATATACATAATTGTATTAATTCTACCCAACAAAAAACAAGAAGTTTGGTTTGATTTCACTTCACACATTGAGGAAAAATTTTTTTTTTTTTTTTCATATTTAAATACTTGATTTGAACTGAAATACTAAAACGTCAGATTGCATTTTATTACCAGAATGTACAATTTGAATAACGAAGCACTTTCTGCAGAATTCAAGCACTCAGAACCTTGAAAGCAGAGCATCTAAATTGAAGCATTTTGAAATATTTCCTGTGTAGATTGATGAACAGCAGCCTACCCTATGTTAAATGCTGGAGTTTGTGTAAAGTTGAAACTGCCACCAGCTGCTCCTGACTGGGGTGCGATGGGGGGATTGGCGGAGGGGGTAGAAGGCGCTCCAGATCCAGCTCCAAACGTAAACACGCCTGAAGAGTTATTTGAGGCTCCAAAAGCACTGGCTCCTCCGAACTGAAAGCCTCCACCTGATTAAAAAAAAAAACCACAGAATCAAAGATGTGATTATAATCGTGCGATCCCCACCCAGAGGAAGAGAGTCGGTCTGCAGGTGGATGTGAACGAAAACCCAGAGGACGACTCACTTGGTGCGGAGTTGGTGCTGGAACCAAACACGGGTGTGGAGTTGTTCTGCTGTCCAAACGCGGGGGCAGCGTTGGGTTTGGTTCCAAAGGTTTGGGCAGGTGTGGCTGGGAAGGGGGATCCAAAACTTGATCCAAAAGGAGGGTTCTGGTTGGCGCCGAAACCTCCTGAAGGAGCTGAACTGAACACAAACGGCGACGGGGCTGCAGAAGGAGCTGGAAATAATGACAAAAAAAATTAAAGAAAAGGTGAATATTTTACCACCGCCAACACTAATATTCAACAGCGGTTTTACAAGCTTTTATAACAAACGCAGACCTGATGAGGAAGCAGCAGGGGGTGCTGCTGCTGCTGGGGCTCCGAAGGTAAAAGAGGGAGCAGCGGGAGCAGAAGCAGCAGCGGCAGCAGCACTGTTGGTAGAAGCGCCAAAGATGAAGGGCTGAGCCGACGCCGGAGCCGCGTTCAGCGGAGCGCTCGACGGCGTCGCTGACTGGTTGTCGTGATTCTGTCCGAACATGAAGTTCTTAGCAGGGGGAGCGTCGCCGGTGGTGGAGGGAGGCTGGCCAAACACAAACGTGCTGGGGGCCGAGGAGGATGAAGATGAAGTTGCGGCCGGGGCCGGTGCGGAGCCGCTGCTGGCGGCGCCAAACATGGCGGCAGTCGGGGTGGCGGATGATGAAGTGGCGGCGCTGGGCGGGTTATTAGCCAGGAAAGAGAAGGCTGGTTTTGGAGCAGCAGTGGAATCTGTGCAGGGAGACACTGATACGGTCAGCAACAATGTCTTCTGGCTTCATCAACTCTTGAGTTAGTGTCACTTCCAATTTCTTCGTCAGAAATCTAGGTGCTCTGTGTCATAAACTGGACAATATGGCTAAAAAACGCATCATGATGGATCGGCCGATATCAATAATTACTGATTAGTTTTATGTTTTCGATATAAAATAGGTTTGAATGACAGACGAATGAAGCTCTTGGAGTTAAATGGGAGCATTGTGATAAAAAAAAAATGTAAAGGAAGATAAAAATGTAAGTTCATCTCAGTATGAAGGTTTCCAAACTGTTAAAATTCACCATTATACCTTATTACTGTCCTAAAATAGTTCCAAGCGAGTCTCAGTCAGAAAATCACGAACGTAACGACTTATAATCACAGAATTACATTTTTTTTTTCCAGTAACAGACAATACAAACCAAACCATTCCGACAATTCAATATAAAAAAGCTAAATATTAATACCTGCAGCAGTTTGTCCAAAGCTGAAAGACGGCTTTGAGGCTTCTGAAGTCGACGTCTCACTTTTTTCTGCCTGTTTGCCAAATGTGAAAGCCGGCGGCGGCTGATCTGTTGGCGCACTCGGCTTGCTGAAGGAGAAGCCGCCTCCCGAGGGAGCAGCTGCAGCAGCAGCAGCAGCAGCAGCAGCAGCTTCCGGTTCCTTTTTCACAGCACCAAAGAGAAAGGTCGACAGAGCCGCCTCCTTCTTCTCCTCTGGCTTTCCGAAGGCAAACGTTGGAGCCGCCGGCTCCTTACCTGCCTGTAAAGATCCAAATGCAGAGCTCACCTGCGGCGTGCCGGATGCCACATTTGGATCGCCTAGCCTCCCAAAAACAGACCCCTTAGCGGTGGCTGTGGTGGTGGATGTGGTGTCATTTGATGATCCTGCTTTGTCGCTATTTCCTTGTGAAGAAGTGAGAGGAGTCAAGGTAATAGAGGATGAAGACGTGGTGGCGGTTTCTGGTGTTTTATCCGCCGGTTTAGTCAGTCCAAACGTGAAGCCGCTTTTAGAAGAAGAGTTACTTTCTGTGCTGGATGACCCACTTCCAAAAGCTACTTCGCTGCTGCCTCCAAACTTCAACCCAGCGCCCGCCGCCGGCTGGTCCGACTTCTTGTCATCGTTGGACGCGGCTCCGAATTTGAAGCCCTCAGAGGGGCCACCGAATTTAAACCCTGAAGAGGCAGTAGTGTCTTTAGAGGATGACTCCGAGGAGGAGCCTCCGAACGAGGCGCCAAATTTGAAACCACCTGACGACGACGAGGACGAGTCTGTAGTTCCAAACTTGAAACCTCCGGATCCGGCTGTGCTGTCCGACGTGCCGAACTTAAAACCCCCAGGATTAGAGGTAGAAGAGCCAAAAGTGGAGGTCCCAGAAGCTCCAGTAGCAGAGGAGCCAAAAGACCCAAAGGCTGAGGAGAAACGGAGAATAATGTCAGGTTTAGGATATTCTACGTCCACAAGGCGTCTTGAAAAATTAAAAAAACCTCAAAGTGAACAGTTACTATTAGGGCTTGACAATTTATTTTTATTTAATTATTTTATTTTTTTCAATTATACTGTATTCATAGCATAACAAGAATATAGTCGTAGCAATACAACAATAAAGTCGAAATAATGCAAAAGTAAAGCTTTAATATCACCAGAATAAAGTTGTAATATCAGGAGAATGAAGTACAACAAATCAAAAAATGTAAATGAGGAATATTGATAATCTTGTGATGTTATATTCTGGTATAAGGAAATACTCAAATTATTATCAGTAGCAGGACTTTGAAGCATTTGTACAAACAGCAGTTTATTTGGAAGAAAGAATCAGAGATTTTAGCTCATTAAGATGATTTTCTCGCAATTTTAGGGCCATCTGATAAAATTGTGCTGTATTCTGCTAATATTCTTGTAACTAAAGCATTCTAGATGCCCAATAATAATCCTAATTAAAGCTCCGCGGAGCCTCAAGCGGCCCTCGCAGCCAAGCGC